GGGGGGGGGGGGGTCTGTATTTTTTTTCTTGAAGTGCAGTATGAAATAGCAAAATAAATAATATGATGCTTCTGTTTTAAATATTAGAGATTTATTAGGTCTTGTGCATCAGCACTACTCTTCAAACTCTTGAGCCTATTAAAATAACAGTTGATTGCAGAGCCTGCAGAAATACTGAACATGTTAAAAACCTGTACATTCTGAGATAATACAAGGCCATGCAAATCTCAGCCCACAAGTGAATTGTGACACTTGACTGAACTTAAAGCATACTGAATGTCCACTTGATCCCCTGAAGCTCTCTTCTCTAGGGTTGCATGTTGTAAGCTGTAACTTGGGCATCTGACCATAGAAGGCTCATGTATAGCTAATTTCTCTTTCTGCATTCAGAAGTCATATGACAGATGCAGATCTATGGATAATCATTCTTTCTTTGAGGGGCAACGTTAAAACACTGATGTGACACTGTGATGTAGAATTTTAACACACATGTGTAAGAAAATTGGAATTACAGCTCTAGAGCTACCCTATCCCTTAATACATTTAGGTTTTGCATGCAAATATATAATGAAGCAGGATGAGTTATGGTTCCCATGGGAACCATAACTGATTTTCCTGACCTGTGCAGCAGAATTCTAAACAACATCAAAAGATTAAAAATACTGCATTTGTAAATTTTTTTTCTCTCCACAAAGCACCCCTCCCCAGGCTGGCTAACTCCTCTTCTTCAAATTAGGGGTAAGTGGACAATCAATTACTAATGGAAAGTTTAGACATTCATCTTGGTGAAATACTTTAAAACAGCACAGAGGAAGCACTCCATTGCACTTCTAAGGCAGGAGCTAATACAAATTTTGAATATATTTTGAGCTTGAGCACTTCTGTAAATTTAAGAACAGGCCTTTTGAGTGTATTATAAACCAGCTGTTCTACTACTGAAGTTTGGAATTGTGCACATATATTTTTGGCTTACTTCCCCATCCCAACCTCAGATATATCTCACATTATACTTCTACAGGTCTGTCTTTCATGAAACTATTTATCATGATTAGTTGAATTGTAACCAGCAACCAACTGCCCTTAGGAGTCCATATTTTAATGTCAAGCAAAGCTTTAGAGGACTTGAGATCCATGAATGCATCATTAAAATGGTCCAGGAGGGGTTGACATCTGATAATCTCTGCTCCTATGAAATTCAAAGAAACTGTTATTTGTTAAAAATCATTTCAAAAGGCATCTTAATTATGCCACATCATTTCTCAATAATGTTACTTTTCATCTCTAAAGACTGCCTTTTGTCAGGCGAATAGTTTTCTCCAAATACACTGGGAGAAATTAAATGAATACATGATTTGGACTTTATTTTTTACATGTATGATGAATTACATGGTATGCTGAAAGGAGGCTAAAAAAATCCTTAGTGTTTTCTATTGTAGGATAGATGATATAGTGCAGAGTCCTTTCACATTTTTTTTCCCAACAAGTTTCTCTTTAGAAATGGCAGATTTATTAAAACCAAAGACAATGTCCTTTCTAGTAGCCTTACTTTCTGGATCTGAATTTTTGGTCAGAATAATGCTGGGGAGGGGAGATGTGGATGTATCTTTTAAATGGAGATGCCAAGTTATAAGTTTGAAGAAAAATATGTTGATTAAATCCTTATATACTTTAGGTGTGCATGAACTTACCAATGTAGTTTTATTGGAGGCCATTTTTATTGCAGACTTGCAGAGCTTTTACTAGAAAAATGCATGACAATTAAAAGGAAGTTTGCATTACTCAAAGAAAGGCATCCCAAGACAAGCATGGTCCTTGTTCCAACCCCCATGTATTCACTGCATACAACATTTCTTACATGGATTAAATCCAGAACAAAAAGTAGGTTACTACTTTGTCCGGCATAACCCAGTAATGCACCATTAGGCTAGCCAGGATAAATTATACTGACAAGGTGATATATAGGGTTGAAAAAAGATTTTTCCCAAGGCCTTCAAAAGCATAGTCATGTTTCTAGGGAAAAGGGGGAGGACCATCAGGGATGCTTATTTCCTTAAACCAAATAGAACAAGAGTTCAGATTCTAGCAGTTGAAGATATACCTAATGTATATTAACTGCAAATCTGATGGGGAACAGATACATATTCGTGGTGTAATGAATCGCCCATAATTCTTACATTACAGCAAATTCTTATAAACAGGAAATATTTATCTTAATGCAACTATAACGTTGCCTTCTCATTCTCAAGGTTGCAAGAGTTAAGGTCCTACAACGATATTAACTCAGCTAAGATGTACATACTACATATTCAACTTATGCAAATTACGTTGAACGCAATCCATCCCCTTTTCCGTATCATTTCTCATACCGACCAGCTCCATAGGCATGTATTGTCCCCGCCCCGCAGAAAGCTATAGAACTGCTAGAATTCCCCATATGCCTGGGTAAGGCAGAAAAGTCCTTTAAGACCAGAAAGCCTCCCGGACTCAGCAATCCTGCCCAATCCTCCCCTGATGCGGGAGGTGGATTTTGGTAGTCCCATGGGCGGTGGGGTAGGCGACATGGGAGAAGGGCCGGGGCCAGGGCGCCAGTGCCGGAGGTCTTGCCTTGTGTGTCCCCGCTTGAGAGGTAGCAGAAAGGGGTAAAAAAAACCCAAAAAACAAACCCAAAACCCAGTAACAATCCCCCCACGAGAAAAGAGGCAGCCCTGAGGAGGCCTGCTAGAGGTGGCTGCGCCTCGGGCCTGCGGCGGACGCACATGAGGCCGGCGGGGCCGCCCCGGGCGAGGTAACGGGGACGCAGGCCCCGGGACGCTTCCGCCGCCGTTGACAGGGCCCCTTCCACGCCGTCTTCCCTCCGTCCCTTCACGTTTCCCCCGGGCCGGGCCCACGCAGGAACCG